GCTTCAACACCCCTTCGACACCTCTTTCCAGATGCCGGACCATGTTCTTGACGCCATGTTTCAAGTGTTGACCAAAGGTTCAGAAGCAGTGCGCAAAGAGAGAGTTGAGAGGTTGAGGTGGCTGAAGATGAGGGCCAAGCAGTTAGAAGTTAGAGAGAGTGACCTGCATGCATCCCTGGAACCGAAAGTCGCTGAAGTGTTGAGTTCGAAGAGACTACTCCTCTTAGACGAGCTCATCAAGCAGGTGGGGTATGGGGATGTGCATCTTGTCGAGGATTTGTGCCACGGCATGTCGATCACAGGGGAGGGCAGGGCTACCGGGTGTTTCGCTCCGGAAGTCAAGCCCCCACTGTTAGACAAAGAAGACCTGTGGAGGGGCGCCAAGTCTGCACAGCGGGAGGTGGTTGCAGGCATCCCTCTGCATGTGGCAAGGAGGGAAGTCGAGATAGCGGGTGGGAAGGTTGATGTGGCCCAGGAAGTCTGGGAAGCGACCATCAGAGAAGTAAAGTGCGGGTGGTTGGAAGGACCCCTATCAGAGGAACAAGTGAGTGAGAAGGTTGGTCCATTATGGACTCCAAGCAGGAGGTTCGGCATAGTTCAGGGCAGCAAGGTCAGGAACATAGATGACTTGAGTGAGTTCTCCGTCAATCAATGCTACGGCCCAGGAGAGAAGCTGGATCTTGGTGGAGTCGACGAAGTCGTGACGTTGGCCGCGGCCTGGATGAAGGTGTGTGGCCAGGACGAGGACAAGGTGAAAGTGCGCCTCTCGTCGGGACTGACCTTGGAAGGACCCAAAGCTGCAGAGTTCAGGGGAAGACCACTGGCCTTGAGTGGCAGTTGTCAAGTTCTTTGTGTCCTGTGTCCTCCCTTTTGGAGCCACTGGAGCGGTCATGGCTTTTAACAGAGCGGCTAGAGCTTTGAGAGATGTGCTTCAGAGGTTCTTCATGATGCCAGTTGTGAACTATTTTGATGACTTCCCTCATATCGACATTGAGGCCATGGCAGTCAAGTCACAGGTAGTGATGGAGGAAGCCATGAGGACGCTAGGGTGGGGAATAGCAGAGGAGCCCAAGAAGCGCATCCCACCATCTAAGAAGTTTGTCGTTCTGGGAGTTGTCATCGACTTGAGCCAGGTGGGAGAGGGAGCAGTTGTGGTAAGGAACAAGCCAGAACGAGCTGATGAGCTGGACGTGACCATCGAGGAGATTAGGCGGTTGAAGTCTTTCCCCCCCCTCTATGGCAGCAAAGGTATACGGCCGACTCAACTTTGCAGAGGCTCAGTGTAGCGGGAGGTGGTTGGCCCCAATCCTTGAACCGGTAAAGCAGAGGGCTTTGATGGGTAGGGTGGTCAAGCATGTCACGCCAGAGATTTCGACCGCCTTGGCACTGGCGGCAGACTTACTGAGGACAGCTCCCCCCCGGAGTCTTCAGGCACTGGCTCTTGAACCTCCCTGTCTCATCTTCACCGATGGGGCATATGAGGCAGGCGTGGCGTCGTGTGGGGCAGTCATTCTGTCCCCAAGGACCGAGAAGGCAGTTGCTTTTGGTTTCCAAGTTCCAGCCAGGATAGTAGATGAGTGGCACTCACATGGCCACGAACAGGTCATAGCACAAGCAGAGATGATGCCAGTAATCATCTGCAAGCAACAGTTTGGACATTTCCTACGGAGAGCAAGAGTTCTTTTCTTCATCGACAACGATGGAGTCAAAGAGGCATTTGTGGCAGGCACTACAAGGTCTAAGGCCAGTACCAGTAGAAGGATGCTCGTAGAGGCCATGGTTCAAGATGCTCGTAATGACAGCTTGACTTGGTACACAAGGGTTCCGTCACCATCCAACATCGCCGACGCTCCATCCAGGTTGAACTGGGAAGAATTGGGGCAGATGATCGACTATGACTACGTGGAAGTGGAACTCGACTACGATAGATGGGGAAGATACACGGGTAGTCCTGAGTAGATAATTAGTGAGGTTCGA